CGTTGCAACGGGTGCCCTTGTCGTCGCCGCTGCGCGCTCTGCTCTGCGCGGGGCAGTGACATTCGCAGGCGGTGGGCGGATCGAATGGTCTTCATCCGGTTTGAGCTGCTCCGAGGCCCGCCATGACTCGCGCCAAACCCAACGCTGTCTCGACGGGATGGTTCTCTGCTCTGATTCTTGCGGCCTCCGACGAGCCGCGCGCCAGGCCATCTCCGCCGCCTTCTCCGCGGCCTCGGCCGAGGCGCCTCGGGCCAAACGATTTCTCTGCGCGCGAAGCGAGCTCGAAGTTGAAAGGGCAGTGGGCACGGCGCCGGGGGCTGCCGCGTCTCTAATCGTCAAATTGATAGATCGCTCGCAAGGGTTCGCCGGTGGCGAGCTTCAGCGCGAATCCGCGCCTCCGAGGCGACCGCCCCGGCAGCCGGGAGCTCCACCGCAGGCGCGTCGACGCGTCGATGCGCGACGTGCCGCGAAGGCGCGTCGCCAGCTGAAGCAGACGCGCATGGGCGAACGGGAATGCTTCGACACCAATCAAGTCAATCACGTGTTCCTTTCTTGTCCTGGTCTGAGCAATGCCTGGCGGGCGCGGCGGTTCGACGCGGGTTGAACCGTAGGCCAGCAGATTGCGCCTAGCATCGTCGCGAATTTTCACCTGGGGGTCGGCGGAATGGCACGGGCCCACATGAAAAAACACGACGGCTACAATTTTCGTTCGCAACGACGCGGGCGCCCAGTCGGAAATGTTGTTCTTCCGCCGCGGCGCGAACGCAAGAGAAGCAATGACTGCGGCGCGCGCAGCAACGGAAGGCGCCGGAAAGTATCGGCGCGACGACGGGAGAGCCAACGCTTTTTATATGCGCGAGCGGAACGTACATACGTACGACACCACAATGGAAAACGCCAGCCTCTTGGTTGATGTAAAAAGAATGCCTCCGCGCGCAAGCAACTCCGCGCGCGGGCAGCGCGCGCAGAACATCCAGCACCTGGCGCGCGACATCGGCTGAGATCAACGACGAATCGTCTGGGGGGCGCGCAATGAGCTTGGAAGGGGCACGCGATCGATTTTTTTCAACAACAGGACCAGGGCGCGGTCGACGAACCAGACATACAACTGCGCGCGCTGCAGTCCAGCGACACGCCCGTTGTCGCAAGCGCTGCAGTCAAGCGACACGCAGGAGGAGAAGGGGGCCGCGGTGGGGGCATCCTGGCCCCTCGGAGCGCCCGCCCAAAGTCGATGGTTCACAAGTCTACAGCAAGCGTCACTCGAAAGCGCGAATCATGCGCTCGACGGGCGAGGAGGCGCGCGCGCGGCGCCGGCGACGCCGGCGAAGCAGCGACGCAGTTGGCTTGTTCTTGAACCTTGGCGTCCGGAGGAGCGCCTCATCGGCTGCAAAGGCGAGCTCCGCCCGGCGCGCCCGGCGCGCGCGCCGGGCGGCCTAGCGCGCTGCGAGGCGGCGCGGCCCGCCGCGCTGTCGCACAACGGCGCGGCGCCGCGCCCGCGTAGACGCTCCGATGGTAGACGAAGCAGGACGACCCAAATTATTATAAACATGATGGATGACGCCTGCGCGTGCGCTGGGCGAGCTGGGACAGCCGCGCGGCTGTTTCGCCTTCTCTGCTTCGCCGCGACCGGGATGGCGCAAAATTTGCGCGTTGACGTCGTCGCGCGCGAAGCGCGGCGCGCGCGGCCCGTTGCCCCGCGCCGCCAGAGATCGCGGGCGACGAATCGATCCAATGCGGGGCCCTCCGCCGCGAAGACAGCGGCCCGCCCGCGCGCGCGTCGCGACCCCGGCAAACGCCGCGCGCTGCTCTGCTCGCCAGCTTCCGTGCAGCGCCGCGGAGGCAGCCCGAGGGGCGGTCGGGCCTGCGCTGCCAGCCGCGCGAGCTCTTGGCGCGCTGCGCTTGCGTCGCCCCAGTCCAGGCGGCGATGTTGCAGCCGCTCTCGCGCAGAACATTGAACTGGCCGCAATCAGGCCGAATGCACAAGGCAGCGGCTTCCATCGCCGTCGCATCGCTGAAACGCCTCGGGAGAAAGCGACGGAACTCGCTTGCAGACTGCGCCTTGCACAGCGCCTGCCTGCCCAGCAGCTGGCCCGAAGCGCGCGCGAGTCTTCTGGAGGCGCGCGCGCGAACCCTGGGACAATCAGCTGCCCGCCGCGCGTGCTCGACGCGACCGCGACGAAGAGCCCTCGCTAGCTGGGCGCGCGCGCGGGCGCCCGGCTGCGCGGGCAATCCACGAGGGCGCCGTGCTGCGGCGTCGCGGCCGCGCGCGAGAGCCGTCGCCTGCGTCGCCGCGACTGCGTGCCAAGACTTGTTCGCGAGGTAGTCGTGGTCGCTGGTCTTGGCGGCCTCTTTCCGGAACGCGGTCTTTGCGATAGAACTGCCGGATGCGCAAACTGCGCGGCGACCTTTAATTGATCGCGCGTGCCCGCGTGCTCTGACTCAGCGCCTTGCGTTGCGGCAGCAAATCGGACGCCGCCAACTGATGATCGTCGCGGGCCAGCGGCCCGCTCGCGACGAGGGCGCGCCGCGGGCCGCGGGGCGACGGCCTGAGAGACTCGACGGGTGGGCCGTCTGAGCCCGTCCAAAGGCGCCGCCGGCAACGCAAATCACCGCGAGCCGCGCCCAGCTGCCGCCGGCGATCGCCAGCGCGGACGCGGGCAATGTCCCGCGTTAGCGCGCCTCTTCCGCCAGCGCAACGCGCGGCTCGCGCGCGCGCGAGGCGGGGCGAGGCGCCGCGCGCCCGGTCGAAGCGCGATCGCGCCATCCAGCACCCCTTGCGCGCGAACGCGCGGCTGCGCGCCCGCGACGGGCGCCCCGTCATCTTCGGCGCCTCCCTGGCTGTGAGCGCGCCCGACCGTGCGGCACCATCGATGGCGGTGGTCCACTGCCTCGCTTTATCGTCGTCTGGTTTAACGTGGAAGCCTGGCTCCGACGCCCGGACCTGCCCCGCGCCGTCTCGCGGTCCGGCATGGGGCTGGGCCCGAGGAGGGCGCGCCCCTGCCCCGCGAAGCACTGGTCCGCGAGCTCCGCGAAACTCTATCCTTCGACCGAGAAGCACTCGTCGACGCAGCGCAGCGCTGGCAGCCGCGGCAGCGCACGCGCCGCGGCTGCCAGGGACGGCCCCCGCGCACCCAGCCGCGCACGCAAGCCAGGCCGCCGAAGGGCAGCGCGATGTGCTGAGCGGCCATGACTTGACCGTTCAGGCGGTGCGTCGCCCAAGCGAATGCGCGGCGCCCGGGCTGAATCGGCGCCCGCCTGGGAGCCGAGTCCGCGTCCGCCGATATCCAAAATTCGATCTCCACGCACGTCTGCGCGCGCGAACGGAAAGAACGCCTCGCGGCGGGCGGAGTCGCGCGCGCGGCGCTTCCTCATGAAAAGCTCGTGCAAAGGCGTCATTGCAACTAATCGATCAGGTCGTGGCGCCATTCTTCTTCGACAATGGTTGCCCCGCTAACGCTCGCGCGAACAGAGCTCGTCGACGCCTCGCACCTGCGCCGCCTCGCGCGGGCCCGCTCCGCGCGGCGCGATCACCTTCGGGGATCGGAGAGCCATCTGGCTTGCGCGCCTGCTCCGCCGAGAAACGAAGCGCGAGCAAGGCATTCTGGGCCCACGAGCGCCTCGACCCGCGACGCCGCGCCTCGATGGCTGCGGCCGCGGCCTCTCTATTGTCGAAAAACTGCCACGCGACGCGCGCGAATCTGCGGGCGTGCGTTGCGACGGCCGCGCGTGCTGGCAACTGCGCGACTTTGCCCTGTCGACGCAGGCACGGAACTCGTCGTGGATGGGCGCGTCGCCAGGAAATATCGCCGCGCACACCGACGAAGCGTTTATGACGACATCGAAATCCGCCCTGTCTCCCCCCTGCCACGCTGCGCTGGTGGCGTATGCAGGGCGCGCGGCCTCGCGGCCAAACTCGCCTCGGCGCGGGCGCCCATTCGTCGAAATGCAGGAGCCACTGGCCCGCCGCATCGCTGCTGCCAGTTGCCCTCCCGGCGCAGGCGCACTCCAGCTTCCCGACGGGGACGTGGCTCCAGAAGCTGTCACCAGCGCCGGTGCCTGCCAGCGAGCGGTCGCCCTCGGAGCCGACACGCGCGCGCGCGCCAAGTGCGCGCCTGCATGGAGCCAGGACCAGCGGGGGCCTGCGGGTGGATGCGCTCGCTGGCTCCTGCCTCCGCCGCGCTGGAACAATCGAGATGCAAACTCTGGAGCCTTCGCCTTCTGCCTCCGTTGCGCTTCGATGCGCTGCGTGGGAAGTCTGGATGCTGCGGTCCAACAGGCCGCGCGCCTCGGAGCTCGGCGCGGGTCATTCCGAGTCGTCGACGTCCTGCCGCGCGCGGGGTGACGCGGGCGCCCGCCGAGCTCGGCGCGGCCCGCCCGCGATGCTTCACATGACCTGCCTGCGGGGCAACTTCGACGGACTCTGGACGGACGACGGGGTGGGGGACGGACGAGGATCCGAGGAGGAAAACGGACGAGGGATCACTGAGCCGTTCCGTTGCCCAGCTCCCTCTAATACGCCTCACTTGTTCTACAATATTTCCCTCCTCTTCCTGCTTATCGTTTTGCTTGTGCTCCTTCCAATCAACATCGACGTCACCAAAACAAAACCCTTGGCGGCCAACGCATCCGTTAAAACCAGCTTCCACACAGTGGCACGGCACGTCACATGCACTAACATTGTCGTTTCTGCCGCTCATCTTTCTCATCGATCTCGTCATCGCCGCCATCGTCGTCCGCACTATCTTTATGCCCACCCTGATTGTCTCCCCCTCCCATTCAATGTCATCATCATCGTCATGCTCTTCCTCCTCCTCCTCCTCCTCCTCCTCCTCGTCCCCGTCCATCTCCTCAGTAGGTTATCGCATCAACCGCCAAGTGAAGGTTATCCAGGTTGTTGGATGACCCCCAACTTGTCCCTAAAATCCCAATATCCCCAGTCCTCGAGGATGACGGAGCAGATTTTAAGTAAAGTGGTCAGAGGATGTGGCGAATGCCTGAAGAATAACCCCTGGCAGCACATGTCCCACCGTTCGCGGCACTTCAGCACTGCGAGCTGCGGAGTGCGCGAAGGGGTCGAAGGACGATCACAGCTCGTGTAGGGTGCTGTTGTGCTGGACCACCCAGACGTCGGAGAAGATGAGCCGCGCCATCGAGTTCTGGTCGTCCCGCTCATCGGGCAGGGCGAGGGTGATGCTGGCCGCGTACGCAAGCTTCGCCTCTCAGAAGCCTCCAAGATGGGGTCCGAACATATGGGGCCGAAGGATCGCGCCGCATCGCCGATGCATCGCCGACGTGTCGGCGATGCGTCGGCGATGCATCGGCGACGTCTCGGCGATGCACCGGCGACGCGGCGCGATCCTCTGACCCCGTCTACTCGGACCCCATCCGGGAGGCCCAGCGCCTTGACGTGCCAGACCGCGGGGGGCCGGAAGCACACGGGGCCCGCGGGGAAGCTCCTCGCGACCTGCGCGAAGGCGCGCCCCTCGTCGCGCTGGGCCCGCATGTCCTGCGGGCGGCGCGCGCGCAGGGGGTGGAGCGCGAGGGGGTGGGCCTTTGAGAGGGCGGGGGGCTCCTTCGAACTCAGACACCCTCGCGTTGTGAATCAAACGCGACAGGAAATTCGTCGCCATTCTCGGCCTCCAGGGGCACTGGCCAGGCGTCGGGAGCGTCAAAAACCGACTCGTGAGGAGAGACCGGTCCTGGGGGCAGGGGTCGAGACCTCTGGGGGTCAACGTTGCGACAAAAATCACGACGTCGGGGGTCTGGGAAGGCAGCGGCATTCTTAGAAGCGCCCGGGCGCTTGTACCTGAAGCCTGGGGGGGGGCTGCTGAGAGGCTGCCTGCCTTCTCAGACTACCTACCAGACCACCCCAAACCCCAACCCGAAGACCCAAATTTCAGGGTGGGAGGGGCACGAGATTCATACGTGTTCTCTTCGATGTTCCCCGACCCGCCCCCACTGGGTTGGGGAGGAGGAGGAGGAGAAGGGAGGAGGAGGAGGAGGAGGAGGAGGAGGAGGAGGAGGAGGAGGAGAAGGGAGGAGGAGGAGGAGGAGGAGGAGGAGGAGGAGGAAAAGAGGAGGAGGAGGACGGGAGGAGGAGGAGGATGCTGATGCTGCTGCTGCTGCTGTGCTGATGCTGATGCTGATGCTGATGCTGATGCTGATGCTGATGCTGATGCTGATGATGATGCTGATGATGATGATGATGCTGATGCTGATGCTGATGCTGATGCTGATGCTGATGCTGATGCTGATGCTGATGCTGATGATGATGATGATGATGATGATGATGATGATGATGATGATGACGATGATGAAGAGGAGGAGGAGGGGGAGGAGGAGGAGAAGGAGGAGGAGGAGGAGGAGGAGGAGGAAGAGGAGGAAGAGTTGGGGTGGCTTGGTGGGTTAAGATTCTCGAGAGCCACCTCCCGCCGTCTCGGAAGGGCGCGCGCCCCCACTCGCGCCGGCCCCTCGAGCACGTGCGCGCCGCCGCTCCTGGTACGCGTCCTGCACCCACCCGATCACGGAGCGCCTGTCCTCTAAGGGGCAGCAACAGGGTTGGGTCGGGCGTGTCCTCCTACAGACAGATTCTGGACGAAAAAAAAGTATGTGTCAAAACATGCCCGCACATAGTCAAAACTCATGAAAAATATCGCCTCCAGACTACTCTTGTACTACTTTTCAGGATGCCCCTGTAGAAGGACGTGTCCAACTTAGTCCCCTGAGGGGCAGCAATAGAGTTGGGTCGGGCGTGCCCTCCCACAGACAGATTTTGGACGGACAGTTTTCATGTGCCAGAGCATGCTCAAAAATAGTCGAAAAGAATAGGCACATCGTCCCGAGATTACTCTTTCACGATTAGTGAAGATTCCTCCTGTAGAGGGACATGCCCGACTTAACGATGGGAGGGGGAATGGCACAAAGGGGGGGGGCACGCCGACCTTGCATCGGCGATACACTGCCGGTGAAGCTGCGGGTGGCCCCCGAGAGCAACTCCGCACGATCCTGGGCGAGGTGGGCCTACCATTCAGCCGGGCGTGTCCCGCTACAGTGGAATTTTCGACAAAGACACAACAAAGATTCAAAAAGTAGTCCCCAGACTATTTCTTAAGGTAGTTTTGAATACTCCCCCTGTAGAGGGACAGGCCCGACTTAGCCTACCAGACCACGTGTCGGCGATCAGTGGGCGATTGGGGGTCGATGCGACCCCCCCCCATGTCCACGCCCCCCCCTATCTTTGCCTCTGATCCTCGGGCTTGATCCACTCCAACAGCTGGCGCGCCTTGCGGTGGGGGCGCCCGGACCGGGCGACGGCGCCGAAGAACAGCCCGAAGCTCGGGGCAAAGTGTTTGATCTCCCAGCGCGGGGAGACCACGTCGATGCATGCGACGAGCTCGCCCTGGTCAGGTTGGACGGGAGGGGGACCCAAACCCCCTCGCGTTAACAACAATTACGACTGGAGGTTTTCGCTACTATCGACCTCCAGGGGCCCTCAACGGGCCTCGGGGCCGTCAAAAACACGACGCAGGAAAAACCGGTCCCGGGGAAGAGGTCGAGACCTCTGGGGTCGACGTTGCGAAACAAACAAAAAACACGACGTCGGGGGTCTGGGGGGTACTACATGGGCGGATGCAAGAAAGGTGGATAGCCAGTGTGCTGGCATTTCGCGCATTCGCGAGGGAGCCTCGTCAAAAACATGAGCAATCGGAGCCGCTGGATGCGTGTACAGTAAAAACTCGACCACAAGAAACCTTCCACAAGAAACCCAACCGTGGGACCCCAGGACGTCCATTGATTTTCGGCGTGGGGACGTCACGCTTTCCATCGCAAAACCATCGAGACCTAAGAAACCCAAGGCACCCTGGAGGCAAACAGGGCGTTTGTTGGCATAGGCTTCCGCTATAATGTCTTCCCCTGGGCTGTTCGCCCAGGCAGCACCCTCCTCTCCCTCTTCCTCCTCCTCCTCCTCCTCCTCCTCCTCCCTCCTCCTCCTCCTCCTCCTCCTCCTCCTCCTCCTCCTCCTCCTCCTCCTCCTCCTCCTCCTCCTCCTCCCCTCCCTCCCTCCTCCTCCTCCTCTCCTCCTCCTCCTCCTCCTCCCTCCTCTCTCCTCCTCCTCCTCCTTCCTCCTCCCTCCTACCTCATCCTCCTCCCTCTCCTCCTCCTCCTCCTCCTCCTCTCTCCTCCTCCTCCTCCCCTCCTCCTCCTCCCCTCCTCCTCCTCCTCCTCCACCTCCTCCCTCCTCCTCCTCCTCCCTCCTCCTCCTCCTCCTCCTCCTCCTCCTCCTCCTACCCTCCTCCTCCTCCTCCTCCTCCTCCTTCTCCCTCCCGAAGGCGTTTTTTTTGTTCGGCGATGACGGGGGGGGGTATGACGTGACGCCCCCCCCCCCCGCCGTGTGGCTCAGGCACCACGGCCGCGCCCGCGCGCACGACGCCACAAGCAACGAGCAACGACGACGACGCGAGCAGCATGTAAGTGGCGATCTGCCCATTGCGCCTGTGTGCACCACAACGTTCGCGTGTACCACACCGCGCGTGTGCACCACACCGCCTGCGTACACCGCAACAGCCGTGTGCAACGCACCGCCCGTGTATACCACAATACTTGGGAGCACTACAGCGCCGGTGTACACACACCGCAGCAGCCAGGTGCAACACAACGCCTGTGGACACCACAGTGCTTGCGTGCACTGCAGCGCCTGTGCACGCCACAGCGCCTGTCTACACCACAGCATCCGCGTGAAACGCAGCGCCGGTGTACACCACAGTGCCTGCGTGCATAGGACAGGCAGAAAAGAGCATATACGTCAGGATCTGATGCGCGGACAACTAAACGCCGCGCCGAGAAAGTTCAGATAATCGAATGTGACGTTTTTCCCTCCTCCCTCCTCTTCCACCTCCTCCCCTTCCTTCTCCTCCTCTTCGTCCCCCTTTTCCTCCTTCTTACCCCTTGTCGTGCGGCTCGGCGTTACAAGGCACGTGCGCATCTCAGCGTGCACCGCCGAATGGTCGATTGAATCGGTCCACTTGGTTCTCGGATGGCCAGTTTAGCTGGAGCCTCCTGGACGCAAATGGGAGTTAGGGTGATGCGGGCGGACTTGGGGGGACTCGTAGATTCCAGCGGCGCTCCTTTGTCCATGAGGATTTGATTTCCATAGTTTTCTCTGGATTCCACACGCGCCCCATTTTGTCACAAGGATTCCTTCTGACATTGTACACACAAAAATGGTGCTGTGTTGCACACGGCTGATGTGGTGCACACAGGCGCCGTGGCGTACACAGGCACTGCAGTGCACGCAGGCATTTGGGTGTACACTGGTGCTGTGTTGCGCACGGCTGATGTGGTGTACGGAGGCGCTGTGGTGTACACAGGAGCTGCTGTGCCCTCAGGCGCGGTAGCACAAACTGACGTTGTGTTGCACGCGGCTGATTTGGTGTACATCGGCGGTGTGGTGTACACAGGCGCTGTGGTGCACGCGGGCATTGTGATGTACACAGCCGTTGTGGTGCATATCGCCACCGACATGTTCGTGCTACCCGTCCTCCGTCATTCCTAACCATTCCCAAACGCCGCCGGCGCGAAACGTGACGTCATCGACCCCCTCCCCCCCCAGATGATTGCCGTCATCGGCCCAGAATTAAAAACAGGCTCCAGCCGCGTCCGCGCGCACGACGACGATGAGCGACGAGCGACGAACCACGAGCGGCGACGACGAACGACGACGACGACGACGACGACGACGACGACGACGACGACGACGACGACGACGACGACGACGCCTGCGGACCAGACACCTATTCGGATTCCTACGCGGACACCTACGCGGATCCCAATGCGCACGGCGGCAGTGCCTGGAGCGCATTGGGGGGGGAGCGATCAGTCATAGGGGGGGGAGGGGGGGGGGGAACGGGGGGCATGACGCCCGTCATGCCCCAAGCAAGAAAGAAATGGCCTCCTCCTCCCTCCTCCTCCTCCTCCTCCTCCTCCTCCTCCTCCTCCCCCTTTCCCTTCGGCGCGTGCCCTGCCCTGGCCCAGCCGCCCCGCAGCCGGTCTTATCCCAACGCCGCCCGGGCGCGTGGAGGCACACGTCCGCCAGGGAAAGGCGACGGGCGGCGGGGCCGAAACTTGCGGCGTCCACCAAACATTATCCCCCCCCCTCTCTCGGGGGCGGCAAAGAGGGGGGTGATGACCAGGGGGGGGTGGATATCATGGCGTGGGCCATGATGTTTCCCCAGACTTCATGGCGCCTCTCCTTCTTAAAGTACGTCCCTGGCCCCCACCCTGGGCCGCGCACATGCCGCCGGTCATAATTTGCACCCCCCCTCTTGGACACCCCCCTCTTGGCCGCTCCCGATTTTCGCCCCATACCCCCTTCCGCTGACAAAAATCACGACGGGTTTTGCTTCGCTATTTTCGGCCTCCGGGAGTCCTTACTGGGCCCCAAGACCATCAAGAAACGACTGTAGGAAAAACAAAGAACGGGTCCCGGGAAAGGGGTCGAG